CCTTTCCTAGTGGGATTGTTCTTGGGCGTGTGATAGAAGGTACTGAGGGGAAGGGCTGTACGGGTTGCAAAAAGTATCAAAATAAGAAGGGATAGGGCTCTTATCCTTCTGAGACTCTCAATCTAGGATTCTTGGTTTCTCATGGTTTGCGGGTGGGTCTTATAGTGTTTGCCTTTCAGGCTGTATGTCGCCCTGTTTTAGTTGTGGGGGCGCTTACACATCTTCCAGAAAATGAATAAGTGAATGTTGAAGATGTAAAAGACGTTGAGAGTTTGGAAAGAGTTCAGAGAAGAGCAACTGAGATGATCGGAGGGCTGGAGATTAAGCCATATGAGGAACGGTTGCAGGATTTGGGTCTGGCTGGTCTAAAGAAAAGAAGAATTAGAGGTGACATGAGAGCAGTATTTGAGTGTATGAGGGGCTGCCACAAAGAAGAGGTGGTCAAATTATTCTACAAAGCACCAGAGGGCAGGACAAGAAACAATGGATGGAAACTAATCAAGGATTGAAGCAATTTGGAATTAAGAAGAAACTTCCTAACAGTGAGGACAATTAACCAGTGGAACAGCTTGTCTTCAGGAATCGTGAGTGGGCCATCACTGGAGGTTTTTAAGAAGAATTTATTTGAGATGGAATAGGGTCTCTTGCTTTAGCAGAGGGCTGGACTAGAAGACCTCCAAGGTCCCTTCCAGCTGTATTCTATTCTAAAGAATTCTGTCGGGGCTAAGTGATAGTAAAAAGGAAGTGGAGAGGGCATATTTTGGTTCCTGATCATCTCGGTTGAAAAGCTAGCTTCCAAACTAGTTTCTAGTTAATGTGTGTTCTCTTCTTCATAGATGAATACTCCGGATTAAAAGACTTTTTCCTGAGATCCGAGTTTATAATTCTTACACCCATCCCATGTTTAACTGGGGTTTTTAACGGCTGGAATAGACCTAATAGGGATAGTTCTTTCCTGTTCTTTTAGGCAACCTGGTGCCAGTTCCACCCTGGTGGTTCCAACTGTATATAAATACAGAAGGCTGGAGATTAAACCTCATGACCATGAAATCTATTTACCCTTCAGAAATCAAACAATCCTTCCCAAATACTTGTTTGCGTTCATTTGATCTCTCATCCCAGACTAGTACAGGTAAGCATATTCTAATTAAATGTTAGAAAAAATATTCCAAAAGTGTTGGAATACCAGCTGATCAAGGTGATGGGTTCTCTCCTCCTCTGAATGCAGCATGCGTGTGAGTTCGTGGGTCCGTGCACACGCTTTCGAGTCCATGTTATTTCTGGAGACTGTGTCTAAAGTCAGTTTTCTTGCAAGATTTTGGAAAATGGTTTGCCCTGGACTACTACTTCTTCTTTAGGATTGAGGGGGAGGATCTAGCCAAGATCACCCAGCCAGCTTCATGACTTAGACAAGGCTAGATCTCATAATCTCCCCATTTCTGCTGACATACAGGTGGCCCTTGACTTACAACCACCATGGAGCCCAGAATTTATGTTGCTAAGTGAGAAATTGGTTTTGCCCCATTTTACTTTTCTTTTCTTGCCACGTCTGTTTAAGTGAATTACAGCAATTGTTAAGTTCGTAATTCAGTGAGTTGTGAAGTGAATCTGGTTTCCCCATTGACTTTGTTAGAAGGTCACAAAAGGCGATTATGTGGCAATTGTCATACATGGGAGGCAGTTGTCAAGCATTCAGATGTAAATCCTGTGACTATGGGGATATTACAATGGCCATGAGTATGAAAAACAGTCGTAAGTCACTTGTGGTGTAACTTTGAATGGTCACTAAATGAACTGTTATAAATGGAGGACTACCTGTAATTAGCTTGTTTTCTGTTTACTTCTATCCCATGCAAATTGTCCCCTTGTGCTGACAGTTTTCTCATGTTTCATGTCCCTGTTGGTTTAACAATTTCCTTGCAATTTTTATTTGCATGCATTTTTTGCTACCTATAGTCTTTTTGTAACAGAAGGACCAGGGGAGACATGATAGCGGTCTTCCAATATTTGAGGGGCTGCCACAGGGAGGAAGGGGTCAAGCTATTTTCTAAAGCTCCTGTAGGCCAGACAAGGAATAATGGATGGAAACTGAACAAGGAGAGATTTAACCTGGAAATAAGGAGAAACTTTCTGACAGTGAGAACAGTCAACCAATGGAACAGCTTTGCCTTCGGAAGTTGTGGGAGCGCCATCACTTGAGACTTTCAAGAAGAGATTGGACTGCCATTTGTTAGAAATGGTGTAGGGTCTCCCGCTTGGGTGGGGGGTTGGACTAGATGACCTACAAGGTCCCTTCCAACTCTGATGATCTGTATCCGTATCTGTAACTCTCATCTACAATTTGTTGTTGTTTCCCTAAGATTGGTGCGCTTTCCCTCCCTCCTCCCTGTGTCTTTCTGGTAGGCTGCCTGCATAAAACTTGAAGAAATATTCTGTTTTCAAGGTAGCTACCATAAGTAGCCAATCTTATTAATCCCCTCCACACCGTGAGACACTAAATCCCATGGAGTCATAGCTCTCATATAAGAGCTATTGTAAGGCCATACAATGCTTTATGTCCTGTTTAGCAGGACTTGAAAGCATCTGGCTTCTGAGGCAACCAGGACATCAAGCTGCCAGTTATCAAAGGTAAATATTGAATCCAACAGCACCTTAACTATACATACAATGAAAACAATTAAAGGGGCGGGGGGGGGGGGGGAGGGGAAGACTTAGGAAGCTAGGAAAGCCAAGATGTCAGGCAACCCCAAAAGTAAACACCCAATAAGCATCTCTGAAAACTAATGACTGACATTCCAAGTGTAGTCAACAACTGGCCAGGTCAGTGTGATCGGGTGGCTGTGGATGGGTGGGCATGAAGGAGTGGGGCACGGCCAGCTCGGCGTTGATTCAGTGCAGCCAAGTGAGCAGGATTGGTTGGGCATGGCCAGGTATGCCCGGCCAGCTGGGTACAACTGTGTGAGCCTGGCTGGGTCAATGTGGAACAAGTCACACCAGCTAACTGGACAGGGGACCAACTCGGCACCCTGCCAGGTCCTCAGCTCCCCAAACTGCCAGCAAGCAAGCGTGTGCATGCGTGTGCACACACATGCACATGCACATGCATATGACAGGGAGTGTAGCTCCGTTGGCTGTGGAAGAAACTGGAGAAGGGCACAGTCCGGCTTGGCAGAGCAGGGAAGAGGTAGAGCAAGGGAGAGGGAATTCGGCAGAAGACCCAGGCCCACCCACTCTTCATCCTAAGGCACACAGGGAGGAACAGAGAAGGGAGCAATGTGAGTTGCGTGGTTTACGGGGGAGGAAAGGGCCCTGATTCGCTTCATTAGCTGCAGCTGGGAATACAGTGATTAAAAAGAGAAGTTGTGCACAACAACTTGTTGGGAGCAAATCATGAATTTATCTGGTATCGTCGAGGCTTATCGGTGTTCCTGGCATGTCCCCAACTGTGTGTGTTGCTTTCAAGTCTGCAATTTCTTCTCCTGCCCTGTCAAGTTAATTACTGCAGCATGGTTTGTTTGGATTTTTAGTTACAGTTTGTATGTATTTTGTTTTCGGACTGAATTTCCTCCACTTAAAGGCTGATCCTGGGAGAGTTTTTCTCCAGCTGAAGGTAACCTGGACACTGGGGGCAAAGTTAGAGATAATAAAGGGACTCTTCTTGCTTATTTTACTGTGTTGCCTTTGTGCCATGCCCCGGGTCATCACACACATTGTCTAGATTGCAAATCTAGATAGCATACTAAAAAGCAGAGACATCACCCTGCCAACAAAAGTGCTTATAGTCAAGGCTACCGTTTTCCCAGTTGCAATGTATGGCTGTGAAAGTTGGACCATAAGGAAGGCTGAGCGCCAAAGAACTGAGGCCTTTGAACGATGGTGCTGGAGAAGACTCCTGTGAATGCCCTGGACTGCAAGGGGATCAAACCGGTCAGTCCTAGAGGAGATCAACCCTGACTGCTGTTTAGAAGGCCAGATCCTGAAGATGAAACTCAAAGACTTTGGCCACCTAATGGGTTAGGGTTAGGGTTATCCTTCCCCTACCACGCCCACCAAGCCATGCCCACAGAACCTGTAGTAAAAAAATTTGAATCCCACCACTGCTCTGCATAATATGTCATTGATATTCTGTGCAGCAATGAGTAATACCAATTTCTTTTCTTTCCATACAGTCTGAATCCTGATTTATTTTTCTTTTTGTAACAAAGACGGCTTGGAAGATGCAAGGGGAAATTAAAGGTGAGGCATTCAGGATTTTCTTTCACTTAGCTGAGAAGTAAAGAAAGCAGGACAAAAACCTTAGGATGAAATTAGAGGAAACATTCAAACCATTGATTTCTCTTCTAAGCAGAGAAATCACAATAAATAAGGCAGGCATGAATTGAAATAGCAAGCTTGGGTGGGCAAATGTTTCAATCTGCAACATTTGGATATGACTGGACTCGAGTTAGAATTAGGGATAACTAGTAACTAGGATTATTTTCTTCAGTCATCCTTGGTTCTCAAGGTAAAAGTTGCACTGGAACCAAATATTTTAAATCTGGTGAACCAGGAAGAGCATCTGAGAGGACTCTTCCAGATTAAAAATAACAAAGATTATTAACAAATGGCAACTTCAAATCTCAACAAATAAATGCACTGTCTTACATATTGGCAAAAAAATAAATAAATAAGATACAAGCTGAATAGTCAAGACCTTGTTGAAGATCCAAGCTCTGTAAAGGACCTTGGAATACTCATCTCTAATAATCTAAGTGCTAGAGCCCACTGTAACTACATAGCCAAAAAGGCATTAAGAGTTGTTAACCTAATCCTATGTAGCTTCTTCTCTGGTAATATCACACTACTAACTAGAGCATACAAAACATTTGCTAGACCAATACTCGAATACAGCTCATCAGTCTGGAACCCACATTACGTATCTGATATTAGCACAGTTGAGAAAGTCCAGAAATATTTCACAAGAAGAGTTCTCCACTCCTCTACTTGTTGTAGAATACCTTATGCCACCAGACTTGAAATTGTAGACCTAGAAAACCTTGAATTATGCCGTCTTTGGTCCGATCTAAGTATGGTATTTAAAATCATACATTGCAATGATTTACCTGTCAATCAATACTTCAGCTTCAACCATAACAACACAAGAGATACAAACTCAAGGTTAAACGCACCAAACTTGATTGCAGGAAATATGACTTCAGCAACAGAGTGGTCAATGTCTGGAATACTCTACCTGACTCTATGGTTTCTTCCCCAAACCCCAGAAACTTTAACCTTAGACTGTCTACTATTGACCTCACCCCTTTCCTAAGAGGTCTGTAGGGGGCATGCATAAGCGCACCAACGTGCCTACCGTCCCTGTCCTATTTTTTCTTTTTATTTTTCTTATATGTACCCATTTCATGTATTCATAACTATGTATATACTTATACCTATTATCTTGTAAGCGATTGACAAATCAAATCAAATCAATAAATAAATAATTATCTTCTAAGTTGGAAAGAGGCTCATTGAGGAAGTCAGAGACTTTCACAACTGAGATTCCGTGTAGAGTGTCAGTTTCAGATATAATTCAGCAACAATAACTGCATATGGAAAAACAAGGAAATCTTCCAATATGCACCAAAAAATATCCCAGATGTAAGCCTGATTCTGTCATATAACTTGGGCATCATCCCTTAATATAATCACCTGAAATCTTCCAAGATGATTAACACTCGTGAGATTTTTGGCAGTCATCTTGAGTTTTGCCTGTGTATAATCAACAGTGCAAGATTTGGGGATCTTGTGACGTTTCAGCTACTTAAAATACGTGTTCAAATTGTTTTGACCGGGAACGCCACGGAGCCCTACTTGGATATTGGGGGGCACCATCTTCCTAGAAACAGAACTGAACCACACAACTCTGTGTATTGGTTTCTGTCTTTCATATTGGTAGATGATGATTCTGGATGTGGGGATCGTTTGACTCCTGAGGTGACAACTGGAAGTTCTGATGCAAAGAAGGCAAGAAATACTGGTAAGAACAGACACCTGCCTAGAGTCCTTTATAATCTTTGAGGGGGAAGTAATGAAACAAAGTGACTAGAACGGGCCCATACCTAAGTTAAAAAAAACAAGATTCTTTATTTTTTCCCCACTTGTTTTGAGGAGAGGAAGTAGGGGGTGTTTCTTTTCTTTTTCTTTTTAAAGGAAAACCTCACACAAAACCAACTTTAGGCAAGCACTGCACCCTTTGTGAGTTTTCCATGCCACCTTCAGGACAGATAACCTGCCACTGACTTTTGGCACTTGGGATTAGAGAGGAAAGTCCAGATCATCCATCCGAGGGGGAAGAAATTGATGTTGATGTCTTTGTATCAACCTGCGTCTTCCTAATAGTAAAATTGGACTTCGTCTGTTTCTATTGTCTTTTTCCTTTCTTTAGGGGCAGAAGGAGATTCTGGATGTCTTGATCGTTTAACTCCGGGGGTGACAGGAAGCTCTGATGTAATGTGTCTAAGAAACAGACCTGGTAAAAACAGACACCTACCTGGGACTCTTTGTAATCCCTGGATGGGAGTGTAATATGACAAAGTGGGTGAAGCTGTGCTAAAAACCAAGATTTTTTTTCCTCTCCTAGTTTTGATGAGAGGAAGTTGAAGCCGTTTTTTCTCTTTGAAAAGAAAACTCTCATATAAATCCTACTTTAGGCCAACACTGAAGCTTTGGTGTGATTCCCATGTCACCTTGGTGTTTCCCATTTTCAGGGCAGAAACGCTGCCATTGAACTTTGGTAATTGCAAGTAGAAAGGGAAGTTCTGATTGCCCATCTGAGGGGAAAGGAACTGATGGTAATACCTTTGTCACAAAGAACAAGATCTGATTAATTGCCTTGGTGCTGCAGCAGAAGATGAGGAAGTTGAGTTATTTTACAGTATCATACCTCAATTTTGTGACATTAAATTTTCAAGACTTGGACCTGACACTCTCACAAGTGTTACCAGCTCTTTCTTCTGGCAGGGCTGTTGGGCATTTAAGAGCAATGGGATTGAGACTGACTTTGTGTCTCCCACAAATGTGAGAAGGATGTAGGCTATTAGCCACTCCGGATCCATTTTGTTAAGTCTGGGTGGTGGGTCCCAAGGAGAGACGAGATTCGTGGTAGTGACAACAGCTCTTTATTAGGCAACCAGATACTGAGACGAAATTCCTAGCCTATGACAGACTTTTGAGCTTGCCGCGCTTGGTTTTACCCAATCGTGGCAACCCCTATGCGAACCAATCAGGATTGCTTTATATTGTCCAATCACGGCCCGGCTCTTCCGGACCAATAGGAATGCAGGCCTACAAGCCTGCTAGTATGGAACACATTTCATTTGTTCTGTGGGGAAAGAAATCTGAAGGCCACACACGTCGGACACCAGAGCTGGGCTTCTGTCCTCCTCAGAGGCACTTTTGACTGCCTTCTTCTGTTGTTCTTTGTGGAGGGAAAGGGAGGGAGACGAGGGGTGTTCAGGTTTATCTTGGGTAGGATCAACAGGTGCAAGTTGAACCGCAAACATGAACTGTCAACAAATGTGAAGTCCTCTGCCTTCTCCGAACAAAAGCTTGTCCAGATGTTTTGGGCTTCCTTTCCTAACTCCACTTTCTTAAGGCAGTTCTAAACGATAGAACACAAAAACTTCATACAAATTATAGCCAGTCATTTGGGGTAAATGTACAGTCTCTTGCCATAAAGGGCAAATACTGGCATTAATAGTGGCTGATTCTTTTCCTGTTCTGCCTGCCTGCCTGCCTGATTTAGTATGGTATTGTGTGACTACAATCCTAAGCAATCACAATAAAACCATGAATTTCATCTCTTAATATTTTCCTGTGTTTTGTTTTGCAGCTCTCCTATGTAAGCGCATTGCAGACAACAAATTAATTATAGCAGCTGTTGTTCTAATCACAGCTTTGATCATTACCATAATTGTATTGGCTGGTAAGTAATGAGACATTCCTATTTCTAGATTTTGGAAGTAGTTTGCTCTTGTATCTTTTCTAAGGCAGGCCCAATGTCACCTAGCCAGTTCTCTTAGCTAAGACAGGACTTGAATTCACAGCCTTAAGCTTTGTGCCTAAGACAAGACTATAGCTCACAGTCTCCTGGTTTTGAGCTTGATGTGGTAATCACTACACCAAGCAGGATCTTTTCATGTAACAGCTAGGCTAATTTTATGTTTCTTCTGACATACTCAACTCTCACTTTCATTTTCACGTTTTAAATTCATTTAAATTACCCAAAATTGAGTAAAAGTGGTTTTTCTTTGGGCAAAGACACACGAACCTGTTGCCCTATCCCAACATTTACATTGATTCAAAGTGCTTTACCTACATTGGATAAAAAGGACTTTCTGATAAGCGGTTTTGTGTAATGAAGGGAAAACTTTAACAAGCACTGCTTTAAAGGACATGTATATAGCCATTGACCTTACAAAAGTGTGAGTCCAGGCAGTGTATAGCCATAAAAATAGAATTATAATATAATCAGGTAAAAAACTAAAAATCATAACAAAATACACAACTGAGATACAACATCTAATACACCTCCCAAGAGAGGCCTATCTAATATCCTGGCCTCAGAGCCCAAGAGATCAGCCAGGTCTTTTGAGTTTCCCTAAAAACTAACAGGTTTGGGGCCAGAACATATTCCACAGGTCAGGCACCATAATAGAAAAGTCACAGCTCGGGACAATTCCGGTTGCAAGGCTTCGGCGGCGGCAGGAATCCACTTCTCTGCGGGTCCCTGCTGCGCTCGCCGCTGAGGTACCCCCGATCCAACTGGATTTGGGGGTTGTCGCTACCCCGAAGGGGCAGCGGAAGATAGAGGAGATCCGGGCAGGGATCTGGGGATATCGCACCCCCTTTCCCCAGCCGGCTAGACTCCTTTTTCCTGAGGCGGTGGAGCGGCTGTCAGAAATGGCAGCCACAAAGGAATCTTCAACTGGATAAGACTGTGCAGGAGGAAGAACCAGAAGGAGAAGTTTTCTTGGCTGAACCGGGACATTAAGTTACTTTTAAAACACCCTGGAAATCTGACTTTTGGATTGATACATTTGTTTCCAAAAGGAGTTGTTACAGCGGCGAAAGTGCTGAAGGAAAGTTCACTCCCCTTCCTTACGGAGAAAGCAAATGAGCACAGAAAAACCTGCTTCCTTAAGGTAAAAATAAGCTCTTTGTTATAAGTGGGAAGGAGAGGACTAAAAAAAAAATCTTTAAAAATTTGTTGGAGGAGACGCCTTGAAGATTATAAGACCAGCAACTAACTGTAATACGGCTTTAAAATATATTTGGGATTTTGCCCCAGGAGGAAAAATTGCAAAGAGAAGAAGAGAAAATAATTTCTGTCTGTTTGGATTGTTTGATAACTTTGACATTTGGAAATTACTTTAAGATTAAAAACATCTGGGTTGTTCTTAAAAATTTATAATGGCACCATCTGTGGATGAACTAAAAATGGAATATGAAAAATTAAAAGAAAGAGAACAAAATGGCAAGGATTCTTTGGGAGCTGTCTTCCACTTTTTAGAAATGGCGGTTTCTACGTACCAGCAAATACTTGAGGAAGAAGGAGCAGGAGAGGAAGAAGAAGAAAAGGAAGAAGCCATTTTTAATGGACAAAAAAGCTCGATTAAGAAAGAAAATAGGAAGAGAGGAAGGAAAAATGAGAATTTAAGATTCAATAAAACAACCAAGAAAAAGAAAAATAAGGTGAAAAAAAAGGTACAATGTTAGAAAGCAATTGAAAAGAGAATTACAACAGAGAGGGGAAGTTAAAAAGGTGGAGGTTAGGAGAGGGGGGGGGCAAAAAGACCAGACTGGAGAAGAAAGGGAGGGAAAAAGGGGAAAAAAGCCACAGTCTGAAACAAGATGCCAAAAAGCAGATTTTTTTTAGAGATAAAGGATAAAGGACAATGTATAATTAAAGAAAGATTCTGCAAAAGTACATAAGATAGTATTGTAGTATTTGCATTTGAAATAGTTTATTGGAATATTATAAGATTTAATAAAATATTAAAATGTTTAATAATGATAGATCTTAATATTAAATAAAATATTAAATAGAATGTGTAAAATGATTAATGCTTAGTTATAGTTTAATTCGTTATTGTCTTAATGTTATTATAAATTTACTATTTTATTTTCTTATTCTAAAATAATGTATTAATTAGAATTAGAACTAGAATGGAAATTATATACTTAACTATATTATAAGTTTTTTATTCTTTTATTTTAAAATGCAACATGTAGAATGTACTAAGCAGAATCAGGATGGAAATTATGTATTATTTTAAGTGTTACTTTAGGGGAAAGATAGAAAGGCGTCACACTTTAAAAGTGATTACAGGGGAAATTCTTTGCTAAAGAGAAGAGATAAATAAATGATTGGAAAAGAACGGACAAAAGATACAAACATAATGATTTTGAAATAAGATGAAATAAATAAAATATAATTAAGAGAGTGAAAAGAAGGGAGAAGTTATATAGAAAATATAGAATGGCTAATAAGATATGAATGGTATATAAGGTGAGCATGAATTTGATTTAGGTCTGTAAAAAAAGATGTAACCCGGGGCTAAGCCACTTTTCAAAAGAAGTTTTATGTTTTGTGTTTTGGTTAGTTATGTTTGATTGTGAATTAATAAAACCTTGGAGGAAAACTAAAGGGAGAGAAATTTGGAAAAGACATGTATAAATGATAATTAAGGAGGTTTTATCTTTTTATGTTTTGTTTTATGTTTTGTATTTTGTGTGTTTATGTTTGATTGAGAATTAATAAAACCTTGATAGAAAGAAATATAATTGAATAAAAGTGAAGGGAGAAACAATGAGAAATTTGGAAAAGATATATATGTGCTTAAATGGAAATGTGATAATGTGGAACTATGCCTTAAAAAATAATGTTTTATTTGCCTTGTTAAAACTCATGAGTAATTTTTAGAAAGGAGGTTTTATACTTTTATGTCCTATGTTTTGTTTGTCTTCAAAAAATCAATAAAACCTGTTTCAAAAAAAAAGAAAAGTCACAGCTCCTAAATCCCATCAGATGATGTAGCTTCAAGTAACACAAAATAAAAGAAGCATAAGCCTAAACATTCTTTCACACAAGCCATTTTCACTTTTGCTGACATTTATTCTTTGCCACGGGACCACATACCTCCCTCCTTTTCACCAGCATTTGCACTTTTAAACTTTCTCCAACCATTTTCCACCTTTAATAAAAAATTCTATCAAGTTACACAAATTTAAATGGCCATCAAATGTAGAACTTGTCATCATTCACTCATTTTTCCCTGTGGGGGAAAATGTATCAAGTATTTTAATTTTTAGAGCCATACTCTTTGCTGTATCATACAATCCATGTAACATTTGCTGCCATTTATTCAGATTCTGGGCCAATGCCATGGTATTAAACTGGGTACAAAAATTCACTTACTTTAACATCGCCACATTTGTTTGAAAAACATTTAGCACACATTTGTATCTTATTCCCTACTCAATGTTGAACCAGTCATAAAAATGTCTATTCTCATACATGTTTCACTTTCATCGTAAACAACTCTTACTACATTCAGCTTACATATTCATGTAAAATACTCCATAATGTCAGCATTCCAGCAACCCTCCATTCCAATCAGTGACTCTGAGACAAACATATCTCAAAAGTACCTTTATTAGGATTGTAACTGGCACATCTGTGGAATCCTGAATCTGAAAGTTTCCAGGCTTCCTACAATTTCCCAAACTACAAATCCATCCCCCCTTCCACTTTCTCAGGCTTGTGGCAGTGTGGAATATGGCTTCCAAAGATGACACATAATACACTTTATTTAGTTCTCAGTTAGCAACCACTTGTTCATCATTTTCTCTATATTGACGAATGAACTTGTTTTTACATATTCATGCTTATGTAAATGACTTACTAAAGAATGAAATCTGGACTTTTGTCTCCTGTCCAGCATAAAACTACAAACAACTTCCCAAGCTGATTGCGTTAGCACCTTTCATACCATTTTGATTAGAAAAATCTGCCAGATACTTTCCCAGACTCACTCAACAAAATAACTCCCTAGTCGACTCTGCACTCAAACATTTGCTAGGTGTCCCCTTGTATAGGAGAACACTACCACTAGCACATTGATTTACTATACTCTTCATAGTGCTTACAGCTCTCTCGAAGCAGTTTACAGAGTCAGCATTTTCCCCCCAGCAATCTGGGTCCTCATTTTACTGACCTCGGAAAGATGGAAGGCTGAGTCGATGAGCCTCAAACTCTTTGCAGTGAGCAGTGAGTTAGCCTGCAATGCTGCATTCTAGCCACTGTGCCACCACAGCTAGAACAGTATGGATACTCTTTGTTTAGTGGCAGCAATTGATCCAGCTACTCGGTTGTTAAGTGATGCAGTTCTATAACATTTTTTGTAAAATACACCTGTAGATTTAATTACTCACCTTAGTCATACTTGTGATACATGCAGCATTCCTACTAATGGTAAAGGCAGTATTGATTAGTTGGCTAGGTTTCCATAAGTACACCCAGAGATCTCTACAGTAAATTAGAGGCTATCTTGCAACCCACAATACAGTTGTTTGCATCAACTAGGAGATACTATATAGGAAGAGTCAGGGGTGGGATTCATATTTCTTAACAACTGGTTCTGTGGGTGTGGCCTAATTTGTGGGTGTGGCTTGGTGGTCATGTGACTGGGTGGGCATGGCTTGTATGTAAATATTATAAATAATTATGTAAATATTGATTTTTTTTATAAAAAAGAGTAACTTTTATCCCAAAGCAGGCAAAGCAGGCAGATTGAGTTGCTCATAGAATCACAGATTAATTTAGAGATCTATCCATCTGCAATCGGCTATCTGAGTCTGTCACATAAAATTTGCTAGCAAGCAAACTCACAAAATTAACTCATAACACACCATGTATGATATTGTTTTTTTTTTTTTATAAAAAAGAGCAACTTTTACCCAAAAGCAGGCAAAGCAGGCAGGCAGATTGAGTTGCTCACAGAATCACAGATTAACTTAGAGATCTATCTATCTGCAATCGGCTACTTGAGTCTTCACTGAAAAGCTTCAGTCCTAAGGAAGGTTCAGCTCTGCTTTTAGATTAGCTAGAAAGCAAGAAATCCAAGGATTTCCTTCTTTCTAGCTAATCTAAACCTCCTGGCAGAGCAGAACAGCTAATAGTTGGGGGAGGGGGAAAGGAAGGAAAAATAGCAACTTACCAAACCAGGCAAGTTGGATGGCTCGCATGCCAGGTAAGGAGGGAGTGGGCGGGGAGGGGCGGGGCCAGCCAGTGGAGAGATTTGCCCATTCTCCGAACTGGGGAGAACCGTGTGTGCAGCCTTTGCAAGAAATCATCAGTGCTGCCTGGACAGCTGACAAGCGCTGCACTCAGGTGCCCAGCATTTGAAAATCCTCTTGTTTCCTGCTTTTTCAACCTCAGCTGTGCCGCGCAAAGCAGCTGAGGAGGGAAAAGCAGGGAATAAAGGACAGCCTAGAGCCCAGGCAGGCGGGTGGGCCAAACACCGAACCGGTTAGGTGTCAGCTGCTCTTCGCAACTACAGATTCTATAGAACCAGGCCGAACCAGTAGCATCCCACCCCTGGGAAGAGTACTACAACATATTCAGGATGTAAATTTAAAATTAGATTATGAAGTTATATACGTGTTTGTGTGTATGGGTAGTTCTCAGTTAGCAACCACTTGTTCATCAGCTGTTTCAATTATGACAGCTCTAATAAGGAGACTTATGACCAATCCTTGAAGTTGTAACAATCATAGAAGCCCCACAGGGATGTGATTGTCATGTGTTGGTCGGCAAACAGCGTACATTTACAGTAGTTACAGCATTCCACAGTCACATGACTGTTGTTTGTGATCTTCATAGCCGGTTTCCAACTAGCAACATCTTTGGGAAGTGAGCAGGAAGTTGCAAGTCACAGTCACATAAGGTTGCACTTAAGAACCCATCATGATTTTGCTTTGCACGTGCAGCTGAAACTGTCAAATTAATTGCTGTCGTGAGTTGGGCATATGATTTTTTCAGTTTGCAACTGTGTTGTAGCAATGGAATTGCCAGTTTCAGTTGTGATTGGTAAGTGAGGATTACCTCTATTTACAGGTGAATTTACTTGCCTTCCTTAAAAAATCCTGGAATTTCAATTTAAGTGAGGTAGCCTAATATTAATTATTCAGACTTGTTTTCAGTATTGTAGTTAATTGTCTTAACTCATTTTGTTTTTGTTTCAGTTAAAACAAAATCACATCCATGTAGTCGTCCCTTTGCAAGCCAAGGTGTTGCCTGCCCAGATTCCTGGATTGGATACCTAGGAAAGTGTTTCTATGCATCAAAAGAAGACAGGAATTGGTCTCTCAGTTTAGAGACGTGTTCTTCGTTTAATGCATCTTTGGCTGTGATTGATTCTCAGAAGGAATTGGTAAGGAATCATGATTAATTGCATAATTGTTCAGGCATTCACAAATATAAAAAGCAGTCCAATTCTAAAGTATATACTATTAAAACTCTCATTCTATTTATCTCTTTGTTTGTATCCTTAAGTTAGCACAAATTATTGTTTTGCAATAATTTCTGCATCAGTGTAATTAAAATTGTCTAATTTAAAGAATACATAAAAAAATCTGCAACTCGTTACTCCTATGAACTGAAATGCCTATGATGTCTAGATCAGGTTTATATAAGTGCTGTGGTGGTGCAGTGGTTAGAGTGCAGTACTGCAGGCTACTTCTGCTGACTGCTGACTGCCTACAATTTGGCAGATCGAATCTGACCAGATTCAAGGTTGACTCAGCCTTCCATCTGTCCAAGTAGGTAAAATGAGGACCCAGATTGTTGGAGGCAACAGGCTGGCTCTGTAAACTGCTTAAAGAGAGCTGTAAAAGCACTGTGAAGCGGTATATAAGTCTAAGTGCTATTGCTATTTGCAAAACTGTGGCCTGTGTAGCATTCCAACACTCACATGATTGTGATTTCCAATGCTCCCTACCAGCTTGCCACAAGCAAAGTCAATGGGGAAGCAAGCAGGAGGTTGGAAGTTGTTCCTACTATCACTGTTTTTTGCCTACCCATGGTCATTTTGATTAATCTCTTTAACAAAGTAAATACTGACTTATTATTGAAGTTTGCTTACCACTGCAATTATTTTTCTATTTATCATATACAGTAGAACCTCGGGATGCGAAGGGTCCTGTTTGCAACCAAATTGGGTGGCAAACAAAAAATCCACCCGATTTTTGAATCGGGTCATGATTCAAAATTTAATTGGCTAACAAAATCGGCGTGGAGAGGTTCCCTTTCCGCACCAATTTTCCCTTTGGCGCCATTTTTTTAACTGCGCGCATGCATAGTCAGTCGTGCTTCCGGACACGACCAAATCGGGTCACGACCAGAGTCTGGGAATGGATTACAGTCGCGACCCGAGGCTCCACTATGTATACTCTGCTTAGATGATGAAGGAACCATCTCACAGTTATGGGAATAAAAAATTGGTCAACTTAAAATTTAATGTTCATTTTCATTTTTGTCATATCAGACTGCACTACTTTTCTCTCAAAGGTTGAACAAACAAGTCACAAAGTTGTCTAATTATTTTTATTATTATTCACTCTTCATAACAATGTGAAATCACAGCTGCCAGTTCTTTTGCTGGTGTTGGCCTTCATATGCACTGAGTTCTTCCCGAGCACCTAGAATGTTGCAAAGTATCAGTGTAGTATATGTACAGATCCAAGCAGTGTGGCTTTTTGTAGTTGACAGATGAAAATTGTATCGGTGTACAGGTTTTCTAAGTGCCATCCAACATTTTTTGGATATGGCATTCAGTGTGCCAATAACCACTGGGGCCACTCCATGTCATGCCCCTGTCGGAATCTGATTCAGAGGGGGAAGCCGAACAGCTGACAGGGAGTGGGAGTGTGGCTCCATTGGCTGTGGAAGAAACTGAGGAAGGGCAAAGTCCGGCTGGGTAGAGCAGGGGAGAGGTAGAGCAAGGGAGAGAGAATTCAGAGGAAGACCCAGACCCATCCCCTCTTCATCCTAGGGCACGTAGGGAGGAACAGAGAAGGGAGTAACGTGAGTTGCATGGCTTATGGAGGAGGAAAGGGCCCTGATTCCCTTCATTAGCTGCAGCTGGGAACACAGTGTATAAAAGAGGAAGCTGTGCACAGCAACCTGTTGGGAGCAAATGTGAAGTTATCTTGTATTGTCGTGGCTTATCAGTGTTCCTGGCATCTTCCCAATTGTGTGAGTTTTGCCGTGCTTTCAAGTCTGAAGTTCCTTCTCCTGCCCTGTCAAGCTAATTACTTCAGCTTGGTTTGTTTGGATTTTTAGTTACAGTTTGTATGTGCCTTGTTTTGAACTGAATTTTCTACTGTCAAAGGCTGTTCCTGGGAGAGTTTTCTCCAGCTGAAGGTAATCTGGACATTGGGGGCAAAGTTGGAGATAATAAAGGGACTCCTATTGCTTATTTGACTGTGTTGCCTTTGTGCCACACCCCTGGTCATCACACTGCAGCTGGTTTATGCCATAATCATTCAATTTCAATTTTCAGATCTTGATAAATTCTGATCTTCTCCAATTCTTTGTCTTCTATTCTACTAGCTCTTAGTATTGCCACTTCACTTATTCACATTTTCTTCTTTTCAACCACAGTGAAATCTGGTATGTTATGAGTGAAGACTTAATCAGTTTGTACTTGGAAATCCCACAATATTTTAATCTGCTCATTTTCAGCTACTTTTTCAACTCGACGTTGCCCCCAATTTTTCATTACTGGGATGTAATAATTATTACAGATGCTATTTTTGTTTTAAATGATGTGTCTTTGAGTTTATTATAATATAAAAAATACAAATGAAAATAAAGATTACAAAAAATGAAAAAGGAAGTACAAGATGAAAAAAAAGTAAAAAAAAGTAATGACTTTTTACTCTTTTCATTTTTGTAAAATACTAAATAGAACTATAGCATCAACTTTTTCTGTTGCATTTTTAGTAACTACAGGTCACTGGATTAATCCAGTCCTCAAGACCCAAAGCCAAAGTTTCTTTGTTTTTCATCTATTTCAAGCAGGGAGTTTAGAAGCGAACTGTAAATGAAAAAAAAAAGGATAAAGTCTTTGTTTAAAAGATGTCCACCAAGTCCAGTAGTTTTTCCATCCATTTTTCCATTGTGGGAAATAATATATCTTTCCATTCATGCATAGTAAATTTTCACTACTGTCAGGATATATAATGACAAAATTTTCCTTCAAGCTCTTTGTGTCAATGGTCTGATTAGTGACCCCCCAAAAAAGTAGGCACTCTCAGGAACTTTGCTGTCCCAAATGCAAAACGTTATTGGATATACCATTTTGGCATTGAAGAAACAAAACAAAACTCTAGTTTTTCCTATATGCAGCCCTGCATAGTTAAACATTTACATTCTCCCCACCTCCTTGTTGGTCATATTGTCCAATTATGAATTGTTATTTTGTTATGAGAACAGTTCACTTCTTTGGCAGATACCTGCATTGGTGACCTTGACTCTCATGGTCTGTCTCTAAAGCATCTTCATTCTTTCTCTCCTTCCCTTCCCCCCAGACTTTGGCAAGTTGAATAGAGTTACTTTTCAAATGTTTCAAAAGCAGTTGAAACACTTTGCTCAACAATTCTAAAGGGAAAAGTTCTAATTTCAGTTTTACATCCTTTTTAAAAAATCTTCTCATGAAATCCAGTTTGTTTGGCTCCCACCTTTGCGATCTAGTTTAATGTTCATCATATCATATTACCCACTGCTTTGTAATCTTTGACTCCCTCTTGCGGTCAAAGAGCAGAGCTTTAACCACACATTTGCAGGTCTGAAGATGTATCTTAGCCAATCAGCTTCAGTGGAAATCAGAACCTTTCAATCGCCCATGAAAAGTACCTCAGAGTCACAAGTATAAATTGCATTATCAATAATTTGAATAATTTGGTGATTTTTCAATTCTAATTAAAATTTGAGTAGAATTTTAAACTCTGATTATAACTAGAAGCCAGCACAGCTTTGTTAAAAACAGATCATGCCAGACAAATCTTATTTCATTCTTTGACAAAGTGACTAAACTAGCAGACCAGTAAAATACTGTAGATATAGTATGCTTGGATTTCAATAAGGCACTTGACAAAGTAAACCACAGCCTACTTCTTGGTAAGCTAGAAAAAATGGGATAGATATCATCACCATGAGATAGATTCATAACTGGCTGACAAATATACTCAACAAGTCATCCTTAATTGTACTACATTTGCATTGCGGGAAATAAGCAGTGGAGTATCAAAAGGTTCCATCTTAAACCTAATACTAATACCTTCATAAATGACTTAGATGAGAGAATAGAAGGGGAATTCATTAAATTTGCAGATGACAATAAATTGGCAGGAATAGCCAATACCCCAGAAGATAGCTCAAGATCCAAAAGGATCTTGACAGACATGAACAATGGGCCCTACTGCGCAAAAGGACAGTTAATGAGAAGTAAAGCAAGGTTTTACATTTAGGCAAAAAATCCCAAAGGTACAAGTACAGATTAAGTGAAACCTGGCTCAGAAACAGTAACTGTGAGAGGGACCTTGGAGTCCTAGTGGATGGTCACTTAAACATGAGTCAGCAGTGTGTGGCAACAATCCAAAAAGTTAACACAATCCTTGGTTGCATAAACAGAGGGTCAAAATCATGTGAATATCATAAATATTTTATGAGTTGACAGTGAAATATTATGAAGCTTTATGAAACCTTAGTAAGATTACACCTGGACTACTGCATCCAGTTTTGGTCACCACATTACAAAAGAGATGTTGAGACTTTGGGAGGGGGAAAGTGCAAAGAAGAGTTACTAAGATGATCAAAGGCCTGGAAATTAAAACATATGAAGAACAGTTGCAGGAATTGGGATATGGCCAGTCTAGAGGGGAAAAGGACTACAGGGTAACACGATAGCAGAGTTCTAGTATCTCAGAGACTACCACAAAGAAGAGGGGGTTAACTTATTTTCCAAAATACCAGAAGGCAAGACAAGAAACAATACACTAATCAAGGAGAGAAGCAACCTGGAATTAAGGAGAACAATTAACCAGTGGAACAACTTGCCTTCAGAAGATGTGGATGCTCCATCACTGGAAGCTTTTAAGAAGAAATTGACATCCATTTGTCTGAAATGGTATAGTCTCTCCTGCATGAGCAGGGAGTTGGATTAGAACAGGGTTCTCCAATGTCGGCAATTTTAAGACATGTGGACTTCAACTCCCAGGCTGGAAAATTCTGGGAGTTGAAGTCCACAAGTCTTAAAGTTGCCGAGGTTGGTGACCACTGATTTAGAAGACCTCCAAGGTCCCTTCCAACTCTACTCTGATTGAAATTCTGACCTTGATTGCATTAGTTCAAATAGGTGTAAGCAGACAAAATCAAGCCTTCAGTTTCTTCCTTTTTAAATGCTCCATTTGTAAGCCAATGTCAGGTTTTATCATTACCCACTTTCCAATTGATCTTTTATAGATATTGACCATATAATGCTTTTCCTTACCAGCATTTTGTTCATGTTTTTATTACTTTTTTTTATATTCATGTCTTGTTTTCTGCATACCCATAAGTTCCAATTTTTAACTTGTATCGGTGCTTGCTCTTGGCTATCTTTTATGTAATCAGTCAATGCAGGCTTAACTGACACTTTGACTTGACATAAACCTCTGTCTTGATTTCCAGATGGAAGGTATAAACTGTCAGTATCACTACAGGGATGTAACACGGAATGAATTGTCATTAGCTTTCTTGTTTTTTGGTCCAAACTGTCCAGTTCAGCTTGTGTCCAGTTAATAATTCCTGCAGCGTGTCATCTCAGAAGTATGGTTCAGGGATAGGTGACTTTGATCATGTTTCCACCTTCAATTTTGTTTTGGGCACTTTTTTCACTCTTTAGATGTATTTTTTTACTAATCACATTTTAATTTGTACGTGCTTGATATTATCCAGCTGCAACATATCCAAATACTTATAGACTTCACCCTGATGACTCCTATCAGTTTTGCCATTTGCCATTTCAATTCCATTACTGTTTGTGATTTTATTCCAGTTTATTGCTATTGTCACAAATTTCTCTAGGCCAAATTCCACTGGCATATCTCTGCTAAATATTCTTATACCGTTTGTTAATGACTGGATTTCAATTTCTGATTTTCCATAAACCATCAGATCATCAATATAAAGCAAATATGATATTTTTATCCACATTTTTATGTTGTTTGGTAGCCCAGATTTGTTTAATTCAGTATGTACACTGAGAGCATTTGCACCAAGATGAATTCCTTGTGTGCCCAATCACACTTGGCCAATAAAGAATTCTATTCTATTCTATTCTATTCTATTCTATTCTATTCTATTCTATTCTATTCCAATCACTGAAGGCAGAATCATACCAATAACGAATAAGGATGCATCACCCTGGAAGATGCCTCTCCTAAAGTTGACAATCCCATATTATTTATTTCCAACTACCAATTCTGTCTTCCATTGTTTCCTTAATTATTACTATTAGTTGACTCCAAACTGGCCCTTCAAATGTTCCAGCTATATACCCCTCATGCCTGTGAATCCATCCATCTTGTTGCTGGTTGTCCTCTACACTCTTTCCTTCTGCTATTTCTGGCATTATAGTCTTCTCAAGAGACCCAGGTCTTCACACATTGTGTCCAAAACATAATGACAGCCTGGTCATTTGTACTTCAGCTAAGAGCTCTGGGTGAATTTGTTCTATGATATATTTCTTAACTATACATGGTATTCTTAAGAGTCTTCTCCAACTTCAATACCTGAAATCTTCAATATTTCTCTTTCCTATTTCTTCAAAGTCAAACCTTCACAGAGTATTACAGGGAACACTATTGCCTGCACATTTCTGATTTTTGTATATGTAGCTATTTTTTGTAGGTGTAGTTTCTTGAGATTTTGTTTTTCCAGGCCTTTCATGGTTGCCCTACCCATTGCTAGTCTTTAGTGCATTTCCTTTGTTGAAAATAGATCCCTAAAAGGCAAAAGCTATCTCTCACTCTCAATATCTTCATTGTCAGTTCTACACCTGGTTGTTCTATCTGTTGTCCTTAGTTTGGTTTTCTTTATACAGAATTTCATTTTAGTCCAATTATTTCATTTTTCCTTGAGACCAGGTGTAAATGTTGGACATCTTATATACAGGTAATCAACTTACGAACGTTTGAAGTTATGACCAGTCCAGAAAAAGATTAGAGCGGTTCATATTTGAGATTCCAACAGTAGGGGGCCCTCAGCAAAGTGTGACTAAATTTCAGGCAATTAGCAACATAATTTTGCAAAGTGCTGTCGTCACATGAAGGTGTTTTATGACAATTTTTCAAAAACTTGACACGTAGAGTTTTTGGCAAAACCACACCCATAGCAAATTATTAGTTCACATAACAACCAGGGCATTAGCTTAACAATTGTAATGATTTGCTTAAAGACCACTGCAAAACGGGTCATCAGATTGGATTTGTCACATGATCAACCCATTTCATTACCATTATGATATACACCGCTAATGGGTAGGCTTGATTACAGTCATATGTTGAGGGGTACCTTAAAGACTCTCTCTTAAGTCTATCCCTCTGGGAAAGGTCAAAGAAAAGAGAAAAAGAGGATGACTACCAGCAAGATATTGCCAATGCTGAAGCGAACTTGGCTGAGGCCATCTTTTTTGGCTGCCACAAGGCAGAAGAGGGGACAGGGAGGGTGGAAAATAGATAGTTGGGTTTTGCCGTCAAAACAAAAAGTTTTCCTGTGAGAACCAAGGTCATTCCAACAAGTGTCTGGGAGAGAAGGAGCGGAGTAACCAAGCAACCAGCCAGCACCTCTATTGGACAATGTGACTGATGACCTGGGGGAAAGTGGGAACTTTTACTTTTTAATTAGGTGAAAACCGCAGGAATTTTCAGAGTTGGTTTTCACCAATTCTGCTGATATGATGTATCCAATAAACCTATTCTTTGAAGAATCTACCTTCCTTAGAGGTTTGCCTTCTATGCGTGCAGTACTCACATTGACAGATATATGATCAATTACAGCAGCAACTGGTACCCATTGAAAGACCTGGAAGACCTCCTAGACTAGAGAAAGTGAAATCTATGTAATCAGTAAGAGTCAACATTAACTTAGTGGCACATAATCAAATAAATACATTATCTGCATATAAGTGGCCATGAATATTTTTGTTACCTTGATGAATTATTAATATTAATAAATATTGAAGGAGTGTCATTATGAGTAAGATAAACGTATATATTCCTGCTGAATGTTATGCAATGCACTTTAAATTTAAATAGAGATACTTGTACATCATTGCAGTAGAAAGCTTAATTTAATAGACCTCCTTTTAATGGATTTTGGATGCAAAAGACCCAATTTTGGTGTACATATCTCCTCACTGTCTCTTAAATAGTTTTGGCAAGGCAAGGCACATAGGTACATTAATTTATTTAATGCATTAATTTTATTTTAATTGTATGATCTTGAACAAATAAAATAATCTGACACAAATGATATACAGTATTTTGGCATTCAATAGTCAGGCAAAAATAACAGAAACTTTCTCTCCCCAATGTTAAGTGAGGATTTTATTGTTTATTATTTTCCTTCTCCTAGGATTTTTGGGTAAAAATTTTCAAACCATTTCATTACTGGATTGGTCTCTCAAGAGAAGTTAACCAGGTCTGGAAGTGGTCCAATGGCACAGAGTTTAGAAATCAGTAAGTGTGTTTTATTTATTTGTTTGTTTATGGGACTTATAGAACTATTTACCTATTCAAGCATTTATATACGTCACATTTCATCTTCAGTGGCTGAAAGAATAATAAGAATCAAGATAATTTTTGTCTGATCTTCTTTCCCACAAAATATAAGACACAAAAAATGAAGGGGGGAAAAAAAGAGAGAATTAATCAGGCAATAGTATGTAACATCTGGTGGTCCCTGCACTGCTGGCCAGCTGTGTAATAGACTGAGAAGTTCAGGATGGCTGAGATGATACACCACCTCCAAGAATAGATGGTTTTCCTGCCAATTTTGATATTTTTGTAAGCAGGGAGAAGCAGCCCAGATGGTCATAACGTTGAAGGTTCCCCCACCCAAAAGGCAGTGTTTTCAAACTTGGCAACTTTAAGAATTCTTCAAGGATTCTCCAGTAAACCATGCTGGTTAGGGGATTCTGAGAGTTGAAATCCACACATCTCCTTCCAAGAATGAGATACACCTCTAAATGGATGCTTTCTGCTTTGTGTGTGTGCATGTGTGCATTTATTTTTACTTCAGTCATGACCCATTTGTCAGACAAAACTAACTCCAGACTCCATAATCAATTTGATCCAGTGCACCCTGGAGGCACAATGTTGGCTGATGTTCTCTGTACTCTAAATCTGGGTATCTTCTTGGAAAGATCATTCCTGCAATGCTACTTTCTGCCCTCGGTTGCCGCTGTCCAGCGAATAGTAACTCCTTGTCCTTTTTGCAGGTTTCCAGTGCGAGGGGAAGGCTTCTGTGCATATCTAAATGGAAAAGGGGCTGATAGCACCTTGTGTTCCATGGAGAAACTTTTTCTCTGCAGCCGGCCAGAAAGTTGTAGGATACCTGGATATCAACCTCATCCAAAGAAGGAACTCTTGCCTTGAGAAGCATATGTATGTAGTCCCTCCTGGCACATCCAGATTTGCTACTGGCCATATAGTCTTTAGTTGTAACCCTAAGGATCCATCTTCAGATCCTCTCTTAACAAAGCTATTCTGGTCCTTCTGGGGAAATTCACATTTCCCTGTAATCTCCATGTTACATTACTGCTTTTCACTGTGTTGTGTTTTTATACGTGTAATTGTTATGTATTGTAGATAATTGTCAGTTGAAGGTTTCATTCTGCTCCTCTGTTAGTGTGGGAAAATACTATCAGGCGGTGTTGAATAAACAGCTGTTAGAAATCACTCTGGCTTTACCTCCATTCTTCTCCTAGAATTTAACAGTAATAATTTCATCTCTTGAAGGTGAGAATTACAGTACATCCAGGGGTGGGATTCTACCGGTTCTGTCTGGCTCTGTAGAACCAGTAGCTCTGAAGAGCAGCAGACACTGAACTGATTCTGTGTCTGCTGCTGTTTGGCCCAGCCACCCACCTGGGCTCTTACCTGTCCTTTATTTCCTGCTTTTTCAACCTCAGCTGCTTTGCGCGGCACAGCTGAGGTTGAAAAAGCAGGAAAGAAGAGGATTTTCAAATGCTGCGCACCCGTGTGCAGTGTTGTCAGCTGTCCGGACAGCTCAGCAGTTTGTTAATTGCACACGCACGCAGTGCATGTCAGGCGCACATGGGCACGAAGCGCGCATGCGTCCATGACACATAGCCACCGAACTGGTAGTTACACCCGTCGGATACCACCCCTGAGTACATCAAGATGGACAGCTGACAGAATGGACCTACTGTTGAGGTAATTCCCCGTTAGGAGAATGAGCGCATACAGGGAGACGTATTTGAGAGTAGTGTTTGAATAATACACATACACAGCACACAGATACACTGTACAGTAAATGTAGGTTTTTACTTCCAGAAACGTTAAGCAAAGTCCAAACAAGCAATCCAAAGTCATTCACAGGTAAATCAGTCAGTTTTTCAATCCAGGGATAATCCAAATATCAAATTCCAGTGTCAAAAACAGTTCAGTATCAGACTTACATTAAATCCAGAAATATCAGTCAATTAGGAAAAATGGCAATACTCTCCAACAGAAGGAAACAGAGACTTACTCACAGTCTCTTCTGAGACTAAGACTAAGACAAACCAGGTTTCTGCCTCCATCTTATGGCCGTTTGAGAAACCACACCTAATTACAGTTTTGCATTTTCTTAAAGATACAGTTTTAAAATGTTTATCCTGGTTTATATATTTCTAACCCAAATAGCTGTTAGGTGACTTATATTCCTAACACCTACTATGTTTCAGCAAAAGACTGGCTTGTTTTCTCTCCTGCAACCCATGATTTAACTTTTTCTTTTTCTTTTTAAGTGCTGACAAACTTGCTGCACTCAGATCTGCTTCTATCTTTGGGGAAAGGAAGCTTGCCCTGTCCATGTTAGGGGGAGAGTTGTCGATGGTGCCTTCATTACATTGTGACTAATTGTTAGTTTGCTTGTCTGAGTTGGCAGTTCCGTGATAGAGGTATTTTTTATTTCTTGATTCTTGGTCTAATGTTAATCCCACCAATATTGACAGGGCAAGCCACTAGTATATAAAAAAAGATAAAAACCTGTATTGATAATGTTTACCAGGTTGGGTAATGAAATGTATGAACCAAGCTGAGAGAGCACCAAGGATCCCACTGTTATCTTTCTAATTAAATACATTAAAAAAAGTAAGATGTGCTTAACCTTGTTGGCCTTTGCCCAGATATTGAAATCCTGGCTCTTTCCCTAAGCATTTGGGTTGGGAGTGGGTGGGGAGATAAGCAGGGGTGGGATTCTACCGGTTCTATCCAGTTCTATAGAGCCGGTAGCTCTGAAGAGCAGCAGACACTGGACTGGTTCTGTGTTTGCTGCTGTTTGGCCCACCCGCCCTCCTGGGCTCTTACCTGTCCTTTATTTCCTCCTTTTTCAACCTCAGCTGCTTTGCGCGGCACAGCTGAAGTTGAAAAAGCAGGAAGAAAGAGGCTTTTCAAATGCTATGCATCTGCGTGCAATGCTTTTCAGCTGTCCAGGCGGCACAGCCTAAGGTTGTTTTACATGCACATGCAGCGTAGTCACCAAACTGCTAGTAACACCGGTTGAATCCCACCCCTGGAGATAAACTCTGCTACTCTTGGTAATACTAAATTAATAGTTTATCTTTGGACACAAGTACTGTAGATTGTTTGGGAGGGGTGTTTGTTTTTAATCTGATAAGCCACCCAGAATTGCTTAAATGAGATGGACAGTTATATTAATGCTAATAATAAATGGAGCACCTAAAAAGACTAATCAATTGTTTCTTTCTCAAGATGCTTCAGGCAAGCTCTGTTTTCATGGCAGACAAGAAGGAGCCTATTTAAACCATCCATTCCAGAGCAGCGTTTTCCCATTTTGGCAAGTTTAAGATGGGCACAATTCAACTTCCAGAATTCTCCAGCCAGCCATGGAAAATTCTTTTTGTTGCAAAATTGTGGCGTTTACTTATTTATCTATCAAATCTGTGTAGTTGTCCATATAAAAGTCACAGTTAGAATTTAAGCCATTCTAAATTGCAGCTTTTGAACAACGTGGATTCTTCCCTCATTTGTTTGTTTGGAAGATGGCAGAGTGTGGATGGAGAGGGAAAGACTCTGAGTTGAAGGTCATACAACATGAACTTCATACTATTGTATTAGCATTTTCTTGTATTTCAATTTGACTTATTTTTTTATCTGTTTTAAATGATTTATTTTATTGATTGATTGATTGATTTGATTTGTCAATTGCTTACAAGATAATAGGTATAAGTATAAACATGCGTAAGAACACAGGAAATAGGTACGAATAAATGGGGACAATAGGACAAGGACGGAAGGCATGATGGTGCACTTATGCACGCCCCTTACAGCCCTCTTAGGAATGGGGTGAGGTCAATAGTGGATAGTTTGAGGTTAAAGGAGTGGGGATTTGAAGATGTAACAACAGAGTCAGGTAGTGCATTCCAGGCATTGACCACTCTGTTGCTGAAGTCGTACTTTCTGCAATCAAGTTTGGAGCAGTTAACATTGAGTTTGTATCTGTTGTGTGCTCTTGTATTGTTGCAGTTGAAGCTGAAGTAGTCATTGACTGGTAGGACATTGTAGCAGATAATTTTATGTACTACGCTTAAGTCCAACCGTAGGTGGCGTAGTTCAAGACTGTCCAAGCCCAAAATTTCAAGCCTGGTGATATAGGGTATTCTGTTGCTAGCAGAGGAATGTATTCTTCTTCTCATGAAATACTTCTGGACTTGCTCAATTGTATTAATGTCTGATATACAGTGCGGATTCCAGACAGATAAGCTGTATTCGAGTATTGGTCTAGCAAAGGTTTTGTATGCCCTAGTTAGCAATGTTTCCAGAGGAGAAGCTTCATAAGATTAGATTTACAACTCTTAATGCCTTTTTGGCAATGCTGTTACTGTGAACTCTGGCGCTTAGGTCATTAGATATGAGTACTCCGAGGTCCTTGACAGAGTGAGGGTCATCAACGAGACCATATCTGCCTAGCTTGTATTTGGTGAACTGATTTTTTTTTACCAATGTGTAGGACAGAACATTTGTTGGTTAATTATTATTATAATAATTGTTAATTTATCCAAATATTCTAGACTGGAATATGGAATCTCCTGAAGAAGTGACAGAGGGAGTTGAAACTGCAGGAACCTTGGGTGAGAGTGACTATGTCATACTAGAATTCAACATAACAGAAACACAAGCAACAGAACATAATGACACCAGAGTCTTGGATTTTAAAAGAGCTGATTTCAATAAACACAGAGAGAACTTGGGAAAGATTCCATGGATGAAAATCCTAAAGGGGAAAACAACTCAAGAATCTTGGGAAACTCTAAAAAGTATGATCATAGAAGCCCAGACCAGCACAATACCACTGAGAAAGAAAAACAAGAAATCCAAGAAGAAACCAGCATGGCTACACAAAGATCTCTTTGGCAAATTGAAAGAAAAAAAGGACAAGTACAAAAAATGGAAAGAAGGACATACAACTAAGGCAGAATATCAGCAGATAGCCAGAATCTGCAAAGACGAAGTCAGGATAGCAAAGGCTCAGAACGAACGAAGACTTGCAACAAAAGTCAAAGATAATAAAAAAAAAGTTTCTTCCAACTCTGATTATCTGTTATCTGTACTCCGGCTGTGTTGTTTTGTGCCCAACCCTGGGTCATCACACACAGATTCTACAACCTTCCTTTGAATGTACATGTGTGGTATTATATGTAACCTGTTTAACTTCATGTAACTGATTTTCTATGCAAAGGGGAGAATGTTTTGCCCTGTCCAATAAAGTTTTGTTTTGTATTTTCCTTTGATGTGTTAATTATAAAAAAGAGTACAAGTTGGTGCTTGGGGTTCCCTCTATGAAGAGAGGACCCCTTTTTAAGCAGAACATTCTGGATAAATCATAATAAAATGATCTTCCTGCCCCAGGTTTGCTTAGTTGAATCTCCTGTGCCAGGACATCAGTCTAAGATCAGGTTTGGCTATCAGATTTTAAGAGACAAAAACATAAAGCTGAGATATCCACTAGTAAAACAAAAAGTTCCAACCTTCATTTTTATTTCTCTATTATTCTTTAGGAGGAACAAAGACCTGGAAATCTAACTATGTCATGTCAGTTGTGAAAAGATAAAAGGGGATATTATGGGATTTTAAAATGATACGAATAAGTAGATGGAGATATTTTACATCTTATGTATTATACTGTATATATCTTAGATATTTTATATTTGGAATTTGGGGATATCTAAAGATATATTTGCTTAATTGATTTAGGATTGGGATAGTAAGTTTTCCTAACTACTGCATTTCCAGTCTTGTCACTTCACTGGCAGTATTTGAAATGCTAGTTAGTAGGTAACATAGCTTCAATTGAAGAATTGGGGATTTTCAATTTGTTTTGCAGCAAGCTTTGTTAATTAAAAGAATAT